TTTCATGTTCTCAAAAAATCTTAATCGATTTTTTAGTCAACAACCTTTACTGACAGAAATCAAGATAAAAAATTATTTAATTGATATAATAATTCTTACGAATAAGGAATTTGTGATAAGGCAAAAATTTTGTGTTTTATATATATTTTTATTAGAAAAAAAAATAAGAAAAATAAAAATTAACCCACCCCTACCACTTGGTTACAACCAAATTATGCCAAACCATGTTCGGGAATGTACCTTCCCAACAGTTTCCAAAATTTCACGGCGATTGGATGTATGGTTTATTAACAAATGCATAACAACTACACACACATACACAGCAGAGACATATATATATATATATATATATATATATATATATATATATACATATAGACAGAGAGAGAAAAATTATCTACATTTTTTTAAATATATAATGTAGAATACTTAATAAACTGTAATAAACAATCAAACATAGCTATGGATACGGAATACCAAAAACATTCAGTTTGCAATGTGATATTAGTAGATACAATTAACCGATTAATAACTCTGCGAATTAGTAAATAATTGATCTGCTTATTGCTTAGCCTACTTATTAACTTCCCGAAGGAGAAGTTTATGTTTTCATCAAAAAATCCGATTCGCTAATTCTATGTTTTCTCGACGTTTCGAGCCATTCTGAATCGAATAAGACCAAATTTGGAAAAAGTATGTGTGTGTGTGTGTGTGAACAGATTTTTTGCCGTAAATCGACGTTTTCTCCAAAACGACTGGACCGATTTCAAAAATTTAAAAGCTATTTGATGTATCTCGATGAGGACTATCGTCTCCGAGTTTTGTACGGCGATCGACCGGGCCGTTTCTTTGTAAATTGCAGAAAAGTGAAAAATTTTTCGCCCACGTTTTAGCCCGCAATTCTGAATCGATTCTGAAAATTCAAAAACCATTCGATAGATATTGCTTGGGCATCGTGCTGATTAGTTTTTGGTAAAGATCGGCCGTTTTCTTGTAATAACGTTTAAAAAAAAAAAATTCGACGATTTTTATGATTTTTTTTTTGACGGTAGATACCATAGTTTTCTAGGTCATACTAAAATATTACGGCCCTACGACAACTCGTTTAGCTTTAAAAATTCGTCAAAGTTTGCAAAAATTGGTATAGTTTTTTTGACATTTGTCAAAATTAGACTTTTGATCGACGTTTTCTCAAAAGCGCCTGAACCGATTTTAGAAATTTAAAAGCCATTTGATGTATTTCGGTGAAGACTATCGTTTGTCAGTTTTGTGCGACGATCTGCCAAGCCGTTTCTTTGCAATTTGAAAAAAACTGTTAAACTTTTCGTCCATATTTAAGCTCATCCTACCGAACCGATTTTAAAAAATCAAAAACTGTTCGAAAGATATTAGTTGGGAATGGTACTGATTAATTTTACGTGGAAATCTACCGAGCCGTTTTCTTGTAATTAACTGTTAAAAAAAAGTGTTAAATTTTCGTCCACATTTAAGCTCATACTACCGAACCGATTTTAAAAAATCAAAAACTGTTTGAAAGATATTAGTTGGGAATGGTACTGATCAATTTTAGGTGGAAATCTACCGAGCCGTTTTCTTGTAATTAACTGTTGAAAAAAAGTGTTAAATTTTCGTCCACATTTAAGCTCATCCTACCGAACCGATTTTAAAAAATCAAAAACTGTTCGAAAGATATTAGTTGGAAATCGTACTGATTAATTTTAGGTGAAAATCTACCGAGCCGTTTTCTTGTAATGAACTGTTGAAAAAAAAATTTAAGTCGATTTTCATGGAACTTTTTTTGGCGATATACATCATGGTCTTATAGAACTTACTGTAATATTACGGCATTACGACAAGTAGTTTAATTTTAAAAATTCGTCAAATTTTACTAAAATTATTATCGTTTTTTTAAAGTAGGATTGATGAAGTATATTATCTACACATTTTTTTTTTGATTAAGTCAATTATTTACACATATCGGGAAGTTCATGTAACTTGCCTCAAGGCTAAATACCAAACCAACTAGTTTAATTTTTTTTTGTTTGATGTTAACTTCTATTTAGATTAGATCAGATTAGATTAAGATAGATTTTAAATCTAAGATAGTGTCTAATCCCGTAAGGGAAAACCATCAAAAGATTAAAAAAAACAAGCAGGGTCTCTTAGCAAATTTAGAACTATATCATATAAAAAGCAACAGATATATTTAAATTTAGTTATTGCAAATTAGAATACGGTAATACGGAATACAGTAAATTTAGATGAACCAGCTGAATAAGGTTTTATTGACAGAATTACGAGCTCATTAAGTTTAAACGGGATGAAAAATGAAATAAAACTAGTTGGTATTGTAATTTTGCCTTGAGGCAAGTTACATAAACTTCCCGTTATGTGTAAATAATCGATTTAATCAATAAAAAATAAATTAATTTATGAGTGATTAAAAGTATTCCGAGTGGATTTATTGCACATAATTGAAAACGAACTAACGAAACCAACACGTTAACTCGGAGTATTTTCTAAAAGCAAATTTTCACAAATCAACAATTTTTATAATTGAATCAGTTTCCGTAGGACTTTAATGGTTTAGTATGTTCATTAAGACCAAGTACTCTGTCGATATACCAAGTGAATCGTCAAATTTTAATTTTAACAAACGTCAAAAAAAAAACTACTCATTATATCAAACTTTGATGAATTATTAAAATTAAACTACTTACATGTCGTAAGGCCGTAATATTTCAGTAAGTTCTATAAGACCATGATATATATCGCCAAAAAAAGTTCCATAAAAATCGGCATATTTTTTTTTCAACAGTTAATTACAAGAAAACGGCTCGGTAGGTTTTTACCTAAAACTAAACAGCACGATTCCCAACCAATATCTTTCGAATGGTTTTTGAATTTTCAAAATCGACATTTTTTTTCACTTTTCTGCTATTTACAAAGAAACGGCTTGGCTGATCGTCGCGCAAAATTGATAAACGCTAGTCCTCATCAAGATACATCGAATGGCTTTTAAATTTTTGAAATCGATCCAGCCGTTTTTGAGAAATCGTCCATTTACGGCAAAAAATCTGTTCACACAGACACGCATACTTTTTCCAAATTTGTTCTCATTCGATTCAGAATGGCTTGAAACGTCGAGAAAACGTAAAATTAGCGAATCGGATTTTTTGATGAAAACATAAACTTCTCCTTCGGGAAGTTAAAAAATCCAACATGAAGAACGATGTATAATATATTTTAATAATTTAATGGTGCTGTGGAGTTAACGATTTTAATATGTTTAATTAATAGTTTGAAATTCCAAAGTTTCTACGATATTTCTAAATTGCGGTACCAAATAATATTGGTCAAGACCTTGACCACAGGATATGACATCTAGTACGTAAGAATAGTGATAACAAATGATATATTATGCAAAAACATCACACAATAAATTAATAAAAAGATTTCAAACCAAAACAAGAATTTTAAATTATAAAAAATAAAATAAATAAATGAAAAGTTTCACTATTTTAACAAATATATTGCTAAAAAACTGCCTATAAATAACATTTGATACAACTTTTCTATCGACAGATTATTGATTGAATTCAATTCATTTTTTTTTCCTATCTTCATTTTCAAAATTATTTTAACAATTCCATCTTTTAATCAGTTTTATATCACAATTATTTCCACGTTGCATTCTCTTTTTGATACTGCCTTTATATGTAATTTATGAACCAGATATTGAAAGAACTACCAGCAGAAGAATCTGAAGATATTAACTAATTTTATTTCCAAATATTTATTATTATGGTTCCAACAACAATCTGTCTTCTGAACTTTCTTTCAATAATTATCTATTATATTACAATTTTAATGTTAGGCTAATGTTTCATTAGATTTGTAGAGTGCAAATTTTTTACAGCAATGAGCCGAATCCTGCATCCGAAACATGTGAAACTAAATGTAAATATATATATATATATATATATATATATATATATATAATATAATATAATGTAATAAAGTTAACTTTAATTATTAGCTAGATGAGTATTTTAACCTAATGATTTCAATATTATGAAACGACAAATGAATTTTGTTGAATCAATAACTGTTCACCATGTTTTCAAAGCATTGACAAACCAGTTGATGTTCCAGTTATTTGATTTGAAGAACAGTTGATTAGAGCCAGAGAAAAATGGTAGCAAAAAACTGTTCATTGATTCAAAGCACTAATGTTGTGCAACTCTCAAATTAGCAATTAGTAGTTAGTAGAGAGTATAACAAGTAGTAATTATTAACTTCAGATCATACTAAAATATTACGGCCCTACGATAAGTCGTTTAATTTTAAAAATTGGTCAAACTTTGCAAAAATTAGTATCGTAATTAACTGTTGAAAAAAAAAATTTAAGCCGATTTTTATGGAACTTTTTTTGGCGATATATATCATGGTCTTATAGATCTTACTGAAATATTACGGCCTTGTGACAAGTGGTATAATTTTAAAAATTCATCAAAGTTTGAGAAAATAAGTAGTTTTTCTGACGTTTGTTAAAATTTAAATTAGACGATTTACTTGGCATAACTTAATGGTCTTAATGAACATGACAACATGTCCTATGAAAACTGGTTCAATTATAAAAATTGTTGATTTTTGAAAATTTGCTTTTAGAAAAAAAATTTCAATGATTTGTAATAAATCCACTCGGAATACTTTTAATCACTCATAAATTAATTAATTTTTTATAAATTAAGTCAATTATTTACACATATCGGGAAGTTCATGCAACTTGTTCCAAGGCAAAATACCAATACCAACTTGTTATATATAATTTTGCCATTAAAATTGTTAAGAGCAATATTTCTTATATCATTACTATTCATTTTGCTTTTAATTTTAATGGTGTAATAGAAACAAGTGAAAAAAAATCTATAAAAATTTGTATTAAAAAACAGGGAATTTAACAAACAATAAAAAATAGTTTTTTAAGGATATCATTATTACAGCTTTCTTTTAGTGGATATTGTAGCAATTAAATCCCTCATCTGTTGTAGCTCTCTTAGCTCATCACTTATGTTCATAATATGCTTTTCCTTTTCAATTAATTGTTGTTCTAAATCATTCCTGCTCTGCTGCAATTCTTGTATTTCTTTAGACATTTCATTCACTTGTTTTTGACTATGAACAAGCGCATTTTCACTGGTTTCAAGCTTATTTCTACAATCTTTATATTTTCTTTCATACGTTTCAAGCATGGAACACATCTCCTTGTTATCATTTTCCTACATTAAAGTAATCGAACATTATTAAATACGATCAACAAAAGGAATATCAGAACTCTAAAACTTGGAAATATCTTACCAATTTTAATTTTTCTTCAATAATTTGTTTGTTTAGTAACTTCAAATTTTCTAGTTCTGTCGCACAAGCTAAAAAAAAAGTAAACAAACATAAACACATAGTTTGTTTGCCAAATTCAAATTACTTGGTTCTGTCGAACAAAGTACACAAAAAAAATTACAAACATATCATTGTCTGTATAATTTACTCACATTGTAACTTCATTTCTGTACGCTCTAATTGTCCTTTAAGATCCTTTTCAATTTTTGACAATTTCTCTTTCTCAAGTTTCAATTGATTGTTACTATTATTTAAAAGTTTTTCCATATCACATAGTTTTTTGGTAGATACTTTTTTCTCATTCACCAATCTGTAAATCAGATCATAATGCAAAAAACATGTCTGAATTAAATCATTTTTATAAACTTCACAAAAGAGAAGATTGTTTTCCCAAAAAAAAAATCGATTTGTTTTCTCGACGCTTCAAATAATTTTGAATCAAATGAGACCAAATTTGTGAAAAGTATGTATGTGTGTATGTGAGCCAATTCTTGACCTTTCCTCAACGTTTTCCCAACAACGTTCATAGTAAAATAACATACTGAAATATTATAGGCCTACGATAAGCAGTAGGTAGTAAGCTAATGCTTACAGTCAACGTCGACACTTAAATTCATTTTGAATACCCGAACTGGATGAAATAAAATGTGTTAAACAAATTAATTTGACTCATATAATTACAGATATTATAAGTATGTTTGAAGACATCAATTGAAAATAACATTGATTATTTCTCAACGAAAACGAAAATTTTATTTTCAAAATAAGCATTTAAACATTTTATCTAAATACCTGTATCTCATTTCTTATTGATACTAGAGTTTATACAAAAACTGACATTTCAGAAAACCCGGTTTTTGAATTCTAAGTTCTTCAGAAAACCGGTATTAACCAGTTTAGAATTTTATATAGAAAAAAAAAAATTTGCCCAAATTTCTGCAAGTCAAACAAAAAAAAATATGAATAAAAAATTTGAGTGGTAACAGCAGTTTTTGACTCGAAAAACTGTTTATTAATTTTATTGCTAGTAAATTTTTTATTCAAATTATTAGAATAGGAAAATAATAGTTAATAGACCAGAATTAAAAAAGTTTAGAAACATTTATTCGTTAATGTATAATGTTTACATATAAGGATGCAAATTATATTATGATATTGAATTGAGTTATTTAGAGGGCCAAATAAAAAAATAATACAAATTCAAAATTGAAAAAAAAAATGTATTAATAAAATCAAAAGATGCACTTGTTAGATACCTATTAGGGTTTGTCGGTTTTCAACAATCGGTTTTGAAAAGCGGCTTTTTGACGAAAATTATGAAATTCGAAAACTGCTTTTTAGTGAAAAAATCGGTTTTTTCTGTATAAATGGAAAATGACAAATATACTAGATGGAAGCAACCGTTTTGATAATTATAATCATATCGGTTCGATAAAATTTTGAATCATATCAGTCTGTTATAGTTCCCAGAAAGTTTCTGTGTTATCTTTTGTCTAATGTATATATTAATTTAGATTATTATATCAATGTATATATTAATTTAGATCAATGTGACTTCTTGTTAAAGGAGTGAAATGCTATCTTCAAACTTTAAAAAAAGAGTTTTTAGACCTGGAAGCCAAAAGCAAAAGTACAAAATTTGAAATAAATTAATTAAAATTGTTCGGAATAGAATAAACTTGGGGTTTTGTTTAACTGTTTTTAAAACTAAAATTGACATTAACAAGTATGTATCAATATGTATCTAATTTTTTTTATTTAATAAAAAGTTCAGTTTTTTATTTAAAAATGTATTATTTTTATTTATTCAAACCATTTTGTTTTTGAAAACCAACAAACCCAAATGTATACATATTGGGAAGTTAATGCAACCTGCCTTTAGGGAAAATGCTATTGACAACTAGTTATAACTGATACTTACTTCTCATGACTTCGTTGAATAGTGTACAGCATTCCATGCAAGCGTTCAAGTTCCTTAGACATTAAGGCAATTCTGTGATTCATGCTCGTTATTTGATGACTAGCTGATTCCAAACTGTTTTGGGCGCTTCTCTCGGCATGTGACATTGCAGCTAACTTATACTCATAAAGTTCCATTACTTCAGAAGTTACAACATTTGACAACTGGTGTTGAATTGTTATTAAATTAAATTATATTATAGATATTTTAAAATTTTATACAAAATTAACCTGATTATGAGTAGCAGCTTCTTCAAATTTTCCAAGAAGCTTATCGAGTCGCCCTTGTTGTACAACACTTAATACAGGTATACTAACATCAGATAAGTTTTGACATGCGTTATTTGAATTATTTGCTGTAACTATAGGTCCTAAGTCACACATAATCTAAAAAGCATATCAATACAACTTGTGCTATAAAATTACAATGACCAAAGGGTATACAAAATTGGCTCCATAAGAATTCAATATACCAGTTTACAATTTCCTACTTCATCATTTTAACGAGAAATCAGTGAAAGGTTTTAAATCGCTAACCAAAAAACAGTCCAAAATAGCCGTATCAGTAGAAAATACAAAACAACAAAATATTTTTACTTTGGCATTATAAATATGCGCTCACAATTCAAATTATTTAACAATCGTTATTGTAAATAATATATAGTCCAGTCCTGTTGTGAGTGGAAAAAACCTCGCAAATTTTTTTTTGGTATCTTTTACAGGTCCTATAGAGTTGATTTTGAACAAGAAAAGAGCCACTTTTACATATTTTGATTATATCAGTCAAATGACAAGGTACAGAAGTGAAAATTAGTATATCAAATGTACAAATTATTTAAATGCCAGGGTGAAGCCGATTTTGTATGTCAGGGAGTACTTATTCTTTATAGCTAATAAATTTTACCTTAGCAACATCGGACACTGGAAATTCAAATTCTCGGTACTGTATCAACTTCATAACTTGTTCACGTAATGAAGATGAACCTGTATATAAAGCACGTGCTATTACAGATTGTATAGGAGGTTTTCGCAGCAATTGTATCAGATATAAAGCCCATTGTTTATGATTCAAAAGCGCCAGTTGTGCAACCAGAGTTAAACAATGAATATACATGCTTGTATATTCAGGAGAACTTGAGTTCAAATTTGGCTAAAACAACACATTAATCAAAAGTAATATTACTATTATTGTTATTTATTCATTTAAATATTATTTTATTATTAATTTTTCAAAATAGTTGTATTACATTTTCTTCGTCATCATCCATAATAGTAGAAAAGATTGAATCAATCCAAGCCTCTTTTACATAGTCCAGAACTTTTACAACCAATGTTTGTCTTTTGGCCATGGCTAATAATAGTTGTAGCATAGATGTTATATGGTCTGGAGTATCTGTTAGTAAGTTTTGGCCTTGCATTGACAAAACAAGACAAGTAAATCCCTGTGAAAGTTGTTGCAATATCACAGGTGATACTACATCCTCAGTTTCTTTAAAATAAATTGGTATTTGTTAAAAAGTTAAACATTTTTTCATTTAAAAACAAGTAGGTTACCTGTGCATTGCTGTGCTATTGTTCTCAATAAATGTAATGCCTGTGAACTAGCCGGTTTTCGATCAACCCACCTTATTGCTAAATCGACAAGCCTAGGATGAAAAGAAGATAAAGCAGGCAATTCTGCAAAAAAAAAAACATATTTTGATTTCACTAGTGGACTTAAATACTTGTAGAAATGTTAAAATAATACTAACCCAGTACCAGTAAATTATAAAGAAACTCAAACAGAAGAGCAATACATTTAGGATCAACTGATGTATTAAAATCACCCTCTCCATTTGTGTCCATTGAATGAGTGGCATTTTCTGCAACCTCAATACACATTTCTCTTCAGCATTATTATACAAACTAATTTATTTAATTCATTATATCATTAAAAAACAAAACTCACAATAAGAATTTTATTAACGTCATGGGCAAAGCTAGGATATTCTGTAAAAATTTTGTGTGTGCTTGAATATTTTACCATATCAACAAAAAAATCTACTAGATGTTGAAGCATGCTTCTATGCTGACCTCTGCAAAAAAAAAAAAATAGCGGACATGATAAGTATGAATTAATATTTATTTAAAACAGTTTAAGTGACAATTTAAAATAAATTCTTAGTATCAACAATTGATCAATATTATGAAATGTCTCGATCAGTAAGCAACTATCACAAAAATTATGCAGGTCCACAAACTAAAAAAAAGTTGTCTGTATTGAATGTGCGAAATATGTTTTCCACCTTACAGTGAACCCGATTTTATAGTCAAAATAGGGGATCCAACTGCAAAAAACAGAGGAAATTAAAAATTATGACAAAATCTCCGATCCTGGTCGTCCTTTCTTCAAATGATCTGAAAAACGGATTTCAGATGCTTTTTTCATGTTTATAGAGTTTTTTTTTTTTTTTTGTAGGATCTGCAAATATATTATTACCTATTGTCAATTGGAAATATGATTGCAGATTGCTGGCGTTTTCTACAAAAATAAACTCTATAAAGAAACAGTAGGCATTGCAGAAATACATTGCACAGGTCAATTAAGATACGAACAAGAAACGACAGGAATGATAAGATGTGAATCATCTTGCAGGAGAATTACTATTGGAATTGGAATTGGAAACTTTGTAGCTTTTTTTTATTTTTTTTTTCGTTTTTAATGCCATATGATCTAATTATCTACACTTATTGAATGAGGACTCATGCAACCAAATCTGATCCTTCCATATTCTCTAAAACTGAATTCTGACATACAATTAGATACAGCAAAAACAATATAAATAATAAAAAATAAAAATAAACATACAATAAAATATGAACAATCAAAACCAAAAATATAAAATTCTTCTGACACACCCGAAATGAACAAAAATGTTTAAAAGACACAGACAATTATTTTGACTGCACATTCATGGTCAGAGACACATAGATAACACAATTTTTATAATTTCATTTTCCTTTGAGGAGATACAAATGAAAATCTAATTTAGTTAAAAGTACATGAAAGTAATAATCAATAACTATTGATAATTATTATTTATTAAATTAATATATATAGCACACAAGTTAAAGTTTTAATATTTGACAGAGATAAATTATTAATTAAAAAAAAAATTAATAAAACTAGTACCTTAAAAATTCCCCTACACTTTCGAAAGCAACTTCAATAAATCGAAAAATATCTGTTTTTGATGTATATAGATAAATTATTGATTAAACAAAAAAAATTAATAAAACTAGTACCTTAAAAATTCCTCTACACTTTCGAAAGCAACTTCAATGAATCCAAAAAGATCTGTTTTTGATGTATAGATATAAATTATTGATTAAACAAAAAAAATTAATAAAACTAGTACCTTAAAAATTCCTCTACACTTTCGAAAGCAACTTCAATGAATCCAAAAAGATCTGTTTTTGATGTATCTCCAGTCATGCCTTCTAAAATTATAACCATTTTCCAAAGCTGAACCTGAGAAATGATAATAAAGCGTTATATTTTTAGTATTGATGAAGCTGCTAATTTGAAAACTGTATAACTGTACCCGCATTGCATTACTGCTCGATTGTAATTTTACTAATGAATCGATAAAGACTTTCGTATCAACAAGTCTTGTCAAGATGTATGTTGATGGTAAGTTTTTGTAACAAATATTAACCAATACAGATAATGACAAACTGGCTAATTGTTCATTTTTACTTCTGACCCATTCTAGTAACTGATTCATTAATACAGCTAAATGTGGTTCTTGCCAAGTAATTTTTATGCCATACGTCAATTCTTGCATCAATGACAAAATGCGAACTTTTTTATCTTCAAGAACAACGCCCAAAAGTAGCTTTGATAAGACAGGTACAAATCTGTATGTATGAATTAATGCCAGTCGAGCATCAGAATTATTACAAGCACGTTCTAAAACACTAATGGTGCACCAAACCAGTCCTGCAAATTAAAATTAAATTAACAGATAATTAAATATTTACTTAGACTTCCATTCTAAAAATTTGGACTTTATTTATTAAAATTATTTGATATGTATCTAATAATTATCAAGTAACATTATGGCGTTTCATGAAGAAGAAATAAAATTACTAAAATCAGTGAAGGTCCGCCTGCATACACATACTCATTCCAATGCATCAATAATCAAAATAAAAATCTATAATTTTTTACTCCTTTTATTTTATGTTATGCCTTAGAAAGCTTCTTATTTTACAAATAATAAAAGATATTTTATGAAAAGAAGTGTTGAGCTATGGGTAGCCTTCAAAATCCGGTTTTAGCTAATCTGAGATGTTATAAAATCTGAAAAATCACGTTAAAAATTTATAAATTTCCAAACCATCTATCTATCAGGTTATGAATGAGTTGTTTCATACGTTATTATCATGTAGCTAGACTAAATAACTATGTTTTTACTTTATAAATTTCTTTACTTTATTTATTTTATGTTTTGTTTTTTAAATAATGTTAGTTTGATTTTTTGTGAGTGTTTTTCCTGGTGTAATACTGTTTATTGAATTAAAAAAAAACTGAATTATGACATACATACCATGTCAAAACATATAAATAAATAGATTATTTATTGTTCTTTTAATAGACGACTGGCTGCAATCTAGCATTTCAAGAATATGTCTCAACGTCAAACAAAAAAATCTGAATCTTATATATATATTGAAGTATGTGAATTTGGTGTTGATATATATTTTGATGAGTTATTTTGATTCGGGCTGTAACACCAATTAAAAAAAACTAAAACAGTTGTAGGAAAGCTTTATTTCAGTATTTAGACATCAATAACTCTGTACATACTAGAATGTAACAAAAACATGTCAAAAATCATATAGTTTCAAATGTTCCAATTATTAATAGCTTGGTTTATTACTGTGTAATAGTGTAGTGTATTTTTGTGTAAGTAACTTTCTTTGTTCCACTGAATGACAGTCTCGACGAAGACCAAAACGTATGATAAATAAAGCTTTAAGTTATTTTGATTCGAGCTGTGACACCAAATAAAAAAAACTAAAGCAGTTGTAAAAAACCTTTATTTATCATACGTTTCGGTCTTCGTCAAGAATAGATAAAAAAGAAAAAAGAATATATATATATATATATATATATATATATACATGTACATGTACATATATATGTATGTATATATGTATATGTGTATGTATATATATTATTATATATATATATATATATATATATAAATATATATTTCTTTTTTATTTATTTAATATCTATAGTTTCTATTACCTTTTCTAACTTTTATATTCTGTTTGTTGTTAAGTGTTGCTGTTCTGTTAATTTTTCTCTTATATTTATAGTTTCTATACTAATCCACATATTTTATAATTACCTAGTTATATTAAGTTTTATACTGTTTTTAGATCCACTGATCATGATATTAAATTGAATGTCGAAAGGTTTGGAATTAAAGATTATTTTATAAATCTTTGCCTTTTCTTTGATGTATTGCCCTCAAGAACTCACTCATATATTTCAACATCAAAATTAACTACTAAATTATTATATATATATATATATATATATATATATATATATATATTTATATATAAGTTTACATTACCTCCGGTTGACGAATCAAAACTATTCATCAATTCATATAAATTTACATAAAACTCTGATGTTACTGCATTATGAGGATCAAAAATGCTTATTTCTATATCTGATACAATATGCTGCAAATTAGATATGGGGCTGCATTAAATAAGTATTAAATATTTGAATAAAAGCAATTTAAAATAAAATTACCGCTAGATATTTATTAATTTCAATGGACCTCAATTCAGACTTATTTCGCAAGTATTCCTTGACAGCAAAATTAAAAGCTTTCATCGTTTTGAAATTTTCAGTTGATCCATTCAGTTTACTGCTCATAAGCAAGGAATGAGTTGTAGCGCTTGAAAAATCGTCCATAATTTTAATTTTACTTGGAAATATTAAAATATAAATAAATAAGACTGTAAATGCACATTAACTATAATAAAATACGGACACACGAAACGATTAAAACATTTTTAGGTAAACAAAAACAATTTCAGTTGAAGAACGATAATTACATAGTGACGTTAGTAAGCTAGAGCATAGATATGATATAGAAGAGTAGTATAGAGCATAGACCATAAATGAATAAATATAAAGATGGGAAAAAGTTCTCATATGACTTGAACATAGCTGGAGGTGACAAATTGACGTTTGACAATTTGACGGCCTTACAAACGTTAAACCAAAACATTTAACAATTTCATAATAACATAAATAATTTAAAATAAAAATGATAACACGTACATTTAGATTTTCTGTAGTTTATTTTAAGTTTTCAATTTGGATGTGCCAAACAGTATCAACGACTGATTTCTGTAGACTTCTGAATTGTTTATAAAACGCAATTCGTTTTATTTTGTTACAAATCATACCTTTCAATCTTAGTTTAATCAATTTTCGGCTGTGCTAGAATAGTTTAACTAATAATCTTCTTCTTAATGTAAGTTTTTTCAATCATAATGAAGGAGGTTATGAATATAACAAGTCGCCAAGATATTGTTTGCAGAGCTTGTGAAGAGACTGTAAATCTTGAACCAATATATGATGGTTACCATAATTCATTGGCAATGAAATTTAAATTTTGTGTAAATGTGCAGGTATAATAATAAGTTCGAGTAATAAAATTCTTATTTGTGAATTGCTCACTATTAAAGTAACACAAATCTAACATAGCGAATATTCTGAGTGTGCATTTTTTAATATAGTCACCAATCTTTAGATTCTCGAGAAAACATTTAAGTGTCATCTTCAGAATTACTTATTACAAAAGTAATAAGCCTCTCTGAATTTTTAGTGTTACTTTCAGTAATCTAGATCTAGTACTCAGCTAGAATAGGATATAATTTGATTACCTGTGTCTTTTATAACTTTGAAGTCATGTGGTTTTTCTGTGAATTCTTTACATTTTCCTTTTTTGTAATCAATTTAAAGGCTAACATTATTTCAATGACACAGATACACTATGAGTGACCTATTACGAGACTATTATATTTATATTGTGCTATTAGTATGATACTGTATAAATATAATCTGTATTCATTTTAATGGTGCTAAGTATTATCAATACTAAACTACAAGAGATTGCAGATACTTATATCATAAGTAAATGAAGTATATAAGTAAATTCAACCAAAACTAGTCTTCTATCTTTTTTTTTTTCAAAATAATTAATATAGTCATTTGACAAAAATACAAAATTTTAATATTTATTCATTATTAATTAAATGAAATAAAACTAGTATTATTTTAATTATTATGTTTTTGTGGATCTTATTCCTCTTTGCAAATAAATGTGTGTAAATTTAGTCATCATTGTCAATAAAAGTAATTTGATGTGTTGAGACTAGATATTTTTTTTTATAAATACAGATGAAAGAATATATGTTGTTTTAAAAGTTGACACATTGGTGTTCACTTATTACTAACAATAATTAATACCTTGCTAAATTTGATATAGTTTATCAAATATTTTATTTGATAAACTATATCAAATGCGGAATGCGGAATGATTTTTATTATGAATAAATTGTACTAACTGTACACTCATAGATTTTTACCATTTTAGGTAGATGAAGGTGATGGACTGCCACAAAATTTATGTAAGCAATGCATAAATGTTTTGGATATGTTTTTTGAATTCAAACAAAGATGTGAAAAAATAGATACCAAACTAAGACAAATTGCTTTGACCTTAAATGTTCAATCACCACAACAAGCAGAAAATAATGTCGACAGACAAGCTGACCCTTGTGTTACAAAATATGAAGCATATTGCTTTGATGATCTTGTTTTAGATATCGTAGATCCACTATATAAGAATGAAGAACTTCCAGTGAAAGAGGTTTGTGTATATGATAAAAATAATTATACAAACGTTGTTCAAACTGAAGAAGTACCAATTAATGCTGAATCCAATTCTGAGGATAGTGATAATGATTATAAACAAAAGTCAAATGTTACATCGAAACAAAAACAGCAAAAAATTTATCCTTGTACAGCATGCAATGAGCAATTCCATACATATACTGAATGGATTAACCATAGAAAAAGCCATGGTCTATTGAAATATGTTTGTAACATTTGTCAAAGAGCTTTCGCGAAGAAAGCTTATTTAGATAAGCATCAAAAAACCCATAAAGATATTACAGAATTACAGAAGTTTGAATGTGAATGTTGTTCAAAGAGGTATACAAGCAAAGGCAATTTAGAAAGACATATGCGTTGCCACACTGATGACAAACGCCATGTATGTGATGTGTGTGGCAAGCGCTTCATTCAATCAACAACATTGAGAAGTCATCAGTTAACTCATTTAGATATTAAGAATCATGCCTGTAAAGATTGTGATAAAAAATTTAAGTCAAAACAGTATTTGTTACAGCACAGAGAGAAAATGCATAATAAGTATTTTATTCAAAAACCTTTTTGTTGCAACATATGTTCCAGCAAATTTATAAGTGAAAGAAAACTAAAATGGCATCTCAGCAATCACAAGTCATGTGATGGTATTATACCAAACAAAGTTATAAAAAAACGCCAACCACGGCAAATTTGTTGTATTTGTACATTTTGTGGAAAGACTTTCAAACAGCGTGCTCAATTGCGAATTCACCAAAGAGTTCATACTGGTGAATTGCCATTTGAGTGCAAACTATGCCATAAGAAATTTAGGTTTCAGGCAAGTTTTAAATTTCATGAATACAGTCACACAGGTGAGCGGCCATTTAGCTGCAATTTGTGCCCTAAAACATTCAGGCAACCCACACATTTGCGAAATCATCAAAAGGTTCATACAGGGGCAAAACCGCATACATGTACTTATTGCCCGAAAAGTTTTGCATCCAAATCGAATTTGAAAGTTCATATTAGAATTCATACTGGTGAACGACCTTATGTCTGTAATGATTGTGGACGAGCTTTTCTAGATTCTAATGGACTAAAAAAGCATGCTAAGAGACATGTAGAGTGAATAAGGTATGTTTAAAATCATTTAATAAATAATTTTTGATGAAGAATACTTTTCTGAATAAAACGTAATCAAAAGATAAGTAAACATTTTTTGAATGAATATTTTGTTGGAGTAAAATGAAAATCAATAAGTAATGAGGGTGACAAACAAAAGATCAATATATCCTAATGTTTTGGAGCATTTGGAAAACTGTGATATTAAGAAACCTCTAAAAACTTACACATCTTATATATGAACATTAAAATTAATGAAACTTCATTGTAATTGATGTAAGATACTGCCATATTGCAAGTAATTATTCTGCTATATGTATTATTTTATTATTATATCATTTTTTAATATTTAGATATTAGAATTATTTGAAAGTTTATTTTGTATTACTTTTTTTTTTTAAATGAAATATCCAAAATCAATATTTTGTTGTCACTACTTCTTATATGTTTTAGAACTAACTTTATAACTAAGACACACTTAAATATGGCCATATAGTAAATCTTGCAACAAAAAATATAGAAATCATAAGAATTGAATAAGGAAGTATTAATAAAAGTTAATGTAAAAAACACCTGGTGAAATTCTATAATTATATTAGAGTCAGTAGGGATAATGTTTTACCTGTGTTTTTAAATTAGTTTAAATAATGTATGTTTTTCTTTTATTTCAGATCAACAACAATTTGTGCAATAATAAAATAATAAGGAGCAGATTACATACAATTAATGAAAACAAGCATTATATACATTGTACTAGACACAATTAAAATATTTAATATGAATTATGGTGTTCAATATCTCAAATTGATGATATGTTTCCTAATTTACATACTTTGATTAGGGAGCTACCAAAGATGTAGGGCTAATACACATAATTGCATAATCTTTGTGAAATGAAAAATATCAGAGTCAAACAACATATTCAATGTTTGGAATTAAAAACATATTATAAAATTATCCTTTGGATAACAAGGAGATTGCACAATCAGAGTTTAGAAAGTTACTAATTACTTAATTATTAATTAAGTACAGAAACAATATGAAAAAGATAAGAAATATCTAATGAATGCGAAACATTTATGAAAAAATTGAATGAAAGCCACTTGTGCAGGCATATATGTGGCTAGAAGTTGTGGTGCATCCTAATTTGAATGGTCATGGACAGGTTTTTGAAATAGATACATGAAATTTTAAAAATCCCTCACAATATGTGTCTTCTTTAAAGAAAACTTCACAGATTGTTTTAAATAAATATTTGATTCACTAATAATTCACCCCTCTCAAATATGTGATTAAATATCATAACACATATTTAAGTATCTTAATTGAATTATAATATACAGGGATTACATACTATTTAAAGCTATGTAAAATTTATTTATTATAATAAAATATAGTAATATCATATTGTATTTCATTTTCCATTATGAATTAGATGTGACGTGATATGATATGATATCAATTAGAATATTCTTGATACTTTTGTCAGATTTTTTTTTATTATTTTTAGTAAATTTCTATTATAATAGCTTTTTATATGCAAGCGTGCACGTATGTGCTTTTGGCATCAACCAAGTTGGCTATGCTTATACCTTATATTTTAAATATTTGCCTCTCAATAGTTAATTCTTATGCATTAACTGAGAAGCATTGAACAGTGGTCAGAGTGACTTCTAGAGAATACCTATTTGAATTGATATTTTCCTTGTTAAATGAACCCTGGAAGAAGTGGACAGATTTCAATGAGAAACCTTATTAAAAAAAAAAAAATTGCTTTTTTTCTGTGAAATTTTCATTACATTCTATATATATCATTCTTTTGTGTTAATAACTCACTAATATGAAATAAAATAGTTATAAAAATAATAAAATAAAGCAAATATGTTTTGCTTCATGTTATATTATTTGCCTTCAACATCAAATGGTCTATTATAGAATAAATGTTTAATAAATAAAACATGTCATGTAACGTATTTCATTATATTGTATCAGAAATGAAAAAATACAATTTATATAATTTACAATCATTTATTATATTTTGAATTATTAAAATTATAAAAATCTTAAGTTTATAAAATAAATATGTAAATCTATAAAACATATATCATGTTTTATAAAAATCTGTTTCTGGATGTTTTATTGATATAATCCTTGTAGATTTCTTAAATAATATATAAATATATATTGTAATTATTTATATCACCGCTTGTTAATATCACATTTAATTTTTTTGATTATTTTATATCAGTAGAGATTTCGCTAAATTAAATTTCAGTAGAAATTTCGCTAAATTAAATTAAAAACATGTTATGTTTTTTTATATTTCATTCACCAGATAAAAATTAAATGTGGAATAATTGAGATTGCGTAATTTTCACATCAGCAATTATTAAAATATTTTGATTCTTCCTAGATTTGTAGAAATTAGTGCAATATTGATCCGACTACTCTTTACTAAGCAAACTTTATGCAATTTAAAATATCTTTTATCAAGTTCATTGCTTCACTTCATGAAATACACTGCTATCAAATCTCAAAGCATTCAAATTCATGTAATATATACCTAACTATTTTCGCTATTCTATTATTACTAGAAATAATATCAATAAATCCAAAAACTGATGCAAAAACAGTAATACTCATATTACGAGTAGAATTTTGTGTTAAATTGTATATCATTTAACATAAGTCCAGGTAATAGGAATTAAAGAATTTACATGTATATTCTGTACTACTGGTATGTAGGTGTCCAAACAGTTTTTGGATTTATTAATGTTAATCTTAAATAATGTATTTAAAGTTATTTTTTCAAATCAGAAAGATTTGCAATTCTCATATGATTGTACACTATTTAAGTATTATAAATTTATTTGTATAGAAATATTATTATTTATTGAATTTTATGAAGTTTGCAATTCACTAGGTAGAGCACCGAATGGGATTGTGGACCAGTCAATATTATCATCAACCTCTTTCCAGATAACATCCGGATTGTCATCTTTATTATTTTCAGTACCATTCACAGTCACTGTTTGCTCAGCATTATCAATCTGCAGAGCCTTTTCATGTTCTAATCGAAATTTTATGACATCATCAGCAGTGTATATCGATCTTTCGGTATTGTCAAGATTCGATAACTTATCATAATCAATATCACATTCTTGATTTACTAAATTCTGTAGCCTGTCTATAGTACTAATGGTTTCTGAGGGAACTTTTTCCTTCATCAGATTTAATAAAATTTTCCAGTATTTTCCACTTGGAACCCCAGAATTATTCATTAAAGTATATTTCAATGCATCTATGTCCAAAAAGAATTTATCTAATGGAAGTTCTGGTCTGAACATAATAGGTGAAGTTTTTTCCGGCAAAGCGGCACTTGCCTCAATTATTGCCCTCTTTACTGTTGGTGGATGGTAATAATGCGTCTGTGTAATATTTTGTACAGATTTGCACATTACGAGGCCATTTAAGATATATTCAAGCCATGTACATGCTAAGATTTCTTTATTAGACTTAGATAAACAGGACATATCCATTAATTTTTTGACCAAACACGACAAAGCATTTGTAACATGTAAGTGATCCAGAAGTGGCATCCACAACTTTACATATTCTTTATATGAACCATTCTCATTCGGTAAAATATTTCTACTCAAAAAATGGTTACAGTTTAATAGACTATCCACATAGACTTCAGCATATTTATCGTAGCCTTTGAAATCCTTTATAAGTTGATTTATTCTTTTAACCACAATGAATAATAGTGATTTCAAAAAACAACGTTCGGAATCATATGTTTCAGGGCTCATTAATAAACTATCAACATCTGTCGCCAAGTCTTCCTTCAAACTTGGTATATTAATGTCACAGATTCGTTTAAATTTATATTCAACAATGTACATTATAACATTATCATATATCCTCAAGATTCTGTCCAAATATTTTTTGAAATTGTCTTCTTCTGGTACACATGTGCTTTCTTTAATGATATAATCAACCATATCTTCATTTTCTAATTTCCAATACATCTCATAAAGCCATTTTAATGCATATTGTGAGGCCTCTCTAAGTAAAGTTAAAGACGTTAATTCTGCACTATGAGCGCCTTCATGGCGTATACTAACAATCCAATCTGGAATTTGTAAATTTTGGGCAGTGTGATACAATGTATTATATTTCGTTGAATCGGTTATTAGGTTTAGCCACCGTATTATTGCCATAGAGTACATTATTTGTTTTATTCTATTATTATTCACATTATTAGTGTCAGGATTCTCATCATACAAAATTGCTTCAAGAATTTCCATTGTCCCTTGTATTCCACCAGACAAATGTGATGTTCTAACTTTCCACATTTTCATATAATTCAAACCTTCCAATCGATTTACATATTCCGTTGAGAACACTAATCTAAAAACATGTCTCCATTCGGCACTTGAATACCATGGATTTACTTGTAGAACTAAATTATTAGATGCCATTGTAAAAGTTCATTAAGAAAGAATCTTAAATACGCACAATGAAATCTTATTTTATTAACCCAACTGCTTTGGAACTCTCTTTGGAGATATTAGTCGTATAAATTATGCAGCTGTATGAATCACTGCTTGTCTAAAAACAAAAATTTTATTACAACAAATGGTGATATAAAATAATACAAAATCACAAATGTTGCACATTTAATTTTTATACAGTAAATGTAAAACAGTAAAATCAGAGAACATATATCTAAATTTCCAATAATATAAAATAAATAAATATCAAATCAGATAATATTTTAATAAGCGGTGATATAAATAATTAAAACAGTTCATCAATAAATCATCTAGAAACAGATTATAATAAAACATATATTTCTAACCTGCGAATCGGTATATTTGCGGTTTTAAAAACACTATAATAAAGAATGTTTAAAAACAGAAAATGCAGAAGCCAGATTTAATTAAACGTTCAAATGCATTAAAACATTTTACAGTCAATTATCAAGTGTGATAGATTCGATTAATAATATTGAACAGCCTAATAAACAGGGTCTATTCTAATTTGTATCAAAACACAACCGGCGTTCATTGCAATCATTATTATTATGCAGTTTAGGGCGTGTCCATATTGTCTAGGGGCGTGTCTAGCTTTAGGCGCACCTTTAGTGCTAATGAGCCCATAGATAAATAAGCAATGTGCAAATGTTTTATGTTAATGTTGGTTACTTAATAGCAATAAGAAGCGTCATTGTTATTTTTGTGTTGGCAAACTATGATTTATTTGTTCGTGTGTGTCTATTTATTTAGTTATTTATGTATTTATTTTTTTATAAAGTATTCATTAAGAATTGCTTGCAAATGAGGTTCGACATTATGAATACACAATAAACATTTTCAAACTCAGCTATCGGATATAAATTCTACATCCATAGATAAAAGAAGAGTCTGCATCGAACATTGGCAGATTAGACAAATCTTCTGAATAGATTCTAATTAGAAGTAGAAAGTTCTAGTTCTATAAGAAATAAAGTATAATCCATAGATAAATAAGCATAATGAGCATAATGGTATAAGCATACTTTTCTTTTATCTATGGGTACAGGCCATAGATAAATAAACATGGTAATAAACACAGGCTTCTACTAGAAAGTCAAAACAGTCAAAACAGCAATCTTCCAGCTACTCAAAATTGGATCCACACATTAGACGTTTCTGAATGTATTTGGAAGAAATAAATGAAACAAATTGCTAGGAATATCAATATTTGATTGATTAATAGAGTTAAGAATGACAACAAACGATGCAACGAACTAACGCTATAATGTTAAAAATTCACTAAATTTTACTAAATATTTTTATAGTAATAAGTTAAAATAGACTAGAAGTTATTTTAGTAGTTTATGTGTCATCTATGTATATTTATACCAGCAGTGTGTTTATATTTCTATTTGATTATATATCTATTATAATATATTATAATTTGGTATATTTGTGTTAATGTATTTTTACAGAATATATCACTATTTCCTTATTTTTGCATAATATGTTTGTAATACAAAATGTAGGTTCAAATAACTGATTATTGAAATTAATTTTTTTATTTAAAATTTTACTCCATCAATTTGAATGAATGAACATATGCAGACGACACAGGCATAATGGCAACACATGAAGATCCCATAATCATATCAAAAATGCTCCAGGATCATCTTGACGTGATACAAAAATGGTTAAGCTTGTGGAGAATAGAAGTTAACAGCAGCAAGTCAAAACACATCACTTTCACTCTTTGCAAAGGGACATGTCCTGCAGTAAGACTTAATGACGAAGTTATAGACCAAGCAGATACAGTCAAATATCTAGGTTTACACCTGGATAAGAGACTAACCTGGAAAGAACACATTAAGAAAAAGAGAAAGCAGCTTGAAGAAACCAGAAGAAGATATCATTGGCTCCTTGGACGAAAATCAAAACTTGACACTCATAATAAAATTTACCTCTATAAAGCCATCATCAAACCAATTTGGACATACGGCATACAGCTATGGGGATCAACTACCAACTCAAACGCTTTAATAATTCAAAGATTTCAAAACAAGTTATTGAAAGAAATTTTGAAAGCACCAAAGTATGTTCCAAATTGGTTAATTCACAAAGACTCAGGCACTAGCACAGTTAAGGATGAAATAATCGCTTACTCACACAAATATAGAAATCGCCTAGCTGATCACCCAAACTTGCTCGCGAGAAAACTTCAAATCAACTCTACCAGGGCCCGATTAAAAAGAAAATTTCTTCTGCACTAATCATCAATAGATAAGACCATTCGACAAATCACTGGCAATGGTCAGATGATTTGTATTTTGCCAACGCCTTCAGTTTCATGTCAAATATTTTACTTGTTGTCCGTTTCAGGACAGTTGTAAAAATTATTAAAATAAAAAAAAAAAAAAAAAAAAAAAATTTGAATGAATTATGAGCTCGTGGCGAGATGCGAAAACAGCGCTAACGCGCTGGACCCTTTTCTTGGCTCTCTGGACTTAAAAATCAAGAGAGACAAACGGCTATATGAATATATTTTAATCAAATCTTGTCTAGGAATATTAAATATGTTAACATGCCAACATTGTCTACTAACATTCAGACAATCGACGGTCACTTGTTACAAACGAGATGTCATTGAATGCGATTTGGAGAATAGGAGAATAATATATATGGGCTTTCCATACAAAATCGGTCTTGCCCTGCTATTTAAATTATTTATACATTATACTATAACCCATTTCAAGAAAATTTGATATACCAGTTTAGAATTTTCTAACCAATTACTTGCGCTTTTGAGATGTTATTGAAAAATGAGAAAATGCCCCCTTTTTCCAAATTTGATAGCAGAAAGTGTGTTTGACAAATTTTGACGTTCCGTCGACTTGTTTTCGAACGGCTGTAAAAATTTCAAAAACTAAAAAACTATTCAATAAAACTCGATAAGGACCCGCGTTTTACAATTTTTTGTGACGATCGGCCGAGCCGTCTCTTTATTTAGCAAATAAATAAATAAATATAATTAGCTGGGAAGCGCAATATTTTGACCAAAAATTCTGAACCAATTTTGAAAATTTACAAACCCGTAGATAAAAGAAGAGTATACAAAGTACAAACCTTTTGCAAGTTATAAGAAGGGAATTGTGCTGATCAGTTTTTGGTCAATTTGGCCGAGCAGTAGTAAATGATGTTTTTTTTACAATTATTTATGATAATAGAGTTCATGGTATTGAAGATCGTCATAAAATATTATTGGCCTACAAGAAGTTGATCCTTACAAAAATTGTCTTTGCCTTAATACTAAACGCCACTTACCCTTAGTGCATGTGAATTTGTATTTTTTTTAGTCATCTACGTTTAGTCTCTGACTCTCTGACTGACTGACTGACTGACTCTTCTTTATCTATGTTCTTATCTATGGCCTCTGTGATGATTGACAAACATGTGCCAGAGCCCTAACCTTATTCAAGCAATTTGTTACTATCTTCACATCGGTTTTTTAAAATGACAAGAGAGTTAAAAAACTGCAATATTTAATTTGACATTTCGTTATCACTCCATCGCGTCATGTAGAGAGATCGAGTTAATAGTGGACCAAGGGCCTCGAACGATTAGTAGATTTCAGAATCAATAAGTGCCATTACGTAGGAAATTAACCACTTTTCATTAATTCAAACGATGTTTTAATAAAGAAGAACCAAGATGAATGTACCAAAGTCGGATGTCAAGTATTTACTAGCCGAGTTCTCTGAATTGAATTTCCAGATTAATAATATATTGAAATCTACTAGTCGAATAAAGGTAATATCATAATTTACTGGCATTAACATTCTTTCTGTTTCTAATTCGTAATACAGTAATGTGAATAGTTTGCATAATTATTGTTTAATTATAAATTCTAGATGTTTGTAATCTTAATAAACAAAAAACTATGTATGTGTATAGTTTACTTCTTATATATAGTGCATGTGAATAAAAAGCAGTGAGATTTGGTGAATATTTTTCATTATTGCATATTTCAGTATACTTGTTTTGATGTCTCGCAACAATTTATAATATTTGGTTCTACAAGTGGGGGTTTATATGTATTCAATAGAAGTCCATGCCGCTTTCTTCAGTTAATTCCTAATCAGGTATTAAAAATTTCAATTATTTTAATATAATATTTTTGTTTGAATCCAATCAATTTGATAATGAAGATCTTTTTTATTTAATTTACCAGACTGGTCCTGTAACACATTTGTCTATATCACATAATGAAGATTGGATTGCATTTAGCTCTAAAAATGGTTTAGTTTATGTTGTTAGAAGGCGCTCCAGTATTTTACCAGTAATACCAGAAACCCAAATTTCTTACGAGCATGAAGGAAATGGTATAACTAGTTTGAAATGGGATTTTCAAAATACGCAATTGTTTATCGGGGATGATACCGGAAGGGTTTCTGTTCTGAATTTACATTACATTATTGTGAGTATTATTATCACAATACTTGGTTTTAATAAATTAAGTGGTGTTTTTTTTTAAATGCATATATATATATATATATATATATATATATATATATATTGATTCTTGAATGTTATATTTGCACTCAATCATTGAAATAAAAGATCAATAAATTTATTGTTTTTTTTATTTCGATGATTGGCTGCTAATATAACATTCAACAATGTCTCAACGTTGAACAAAAAAATTTAAATCTTATATATGTACATATCAATATGTAGAATTGTAATTCTGTATAATTATATTTCAGGGTAAAAAGATTTTGCATTCAACAAGTTTCTTATTACTGGAATTAAAAAGTCCAATTGTTCAATTAGATACATCAGAAGAACTGTTACTAGTGTCTAGTATTACAAAAACAGTTTTATGTAATACTCAAAGACAAATATTCCAGCAGGTAAGCATTACACACGTAATTAAAACTATGAATATGATTTAAGCTTTCAATTTGAACATTTTAAAATCAGTAATTTCTATTTTCTGTGATTTGAATTAGTTACCATTTGGAATAATATACTTAATATAGCAAACCAACTTTACATTATATATTATTCTTATTGGAATTATTTTATAATTTATTGCTTAATAATTTCTGCATTAGATGCGAGGTATTTAATTTTTTGCTATACTCATAGTTGATGTTCTACAGGTTGGATTGCGTGCTCGCTATGGAAAATTTGGTGCTTGTTTTATGAGTTCTAAAGCTTTAGGTAGCATTTATTGTGCAAGGCCTGGTCATAGGTTATGGGAAGTCGACTTGAATGGCAATGTAATATGTACTCATAAATTCAGAGATCTGTCTGTTTCGCCAATGAGAGTAGTTAATGCTGTAGTAGATAATTCAAATAGTTCAATTGATGCTGTTCCTACCGACACTCGAAAACAAAACAAAAATTTTAATAAGCTATTTGCAATCAGTAACAAATTAATTTTAACATATTCATCAGATATAATTCAAATCATAAACCCATCTAGTTGTGAAATCACATTGAGGACTGAAGACTATTCGAATATCGCAAGCTGCAGGATTTTAAATAATATATTATATGTTTTTACCAAAAATGGTTCTGTTCATGAAATTCATCTTATGACAATTGAGGAGTTGATAGTAAAATGCTACTACTTGCAACACTATTGTCTTTCTTCTAGCTTATCACATGAACATGAGCAGTATTTAATTCAGCGTATTAAACAAGAAGCTTCAATATCAAAAATACACTCCTTTGAAAATTATCATTTTAAATCTAATATGACTTCAATATTACGTAAATTACTTAATTATGATTTTCAAGATTTATTTAAAGATGATACATTAGATGATGAAATCCTTTTCAAAAGAGACAGGCGAAAACAGGTGAAACAGGAAGAAGAATTGAACAAGAATGACTTCAATTTAAATAAGGATACCATAATAAATTTAGAAAATAATATTTATGAAAATGATATGAAGACAAAAATTGTGATGGAAAAAGCTTTACCAGATATTGAAACAAATATGGCATCCAATGAAGAAAATATGACTGAGGTTGAAACTACTGTTGGGAATGATTCAGTTATCATTATCACTGAAGTTCAGGAAGAACAAATTGATGATATGAATAAGAATATTGAGATTCAAGAGATTAAAGAGAAATTTGATACAATTCTTACTGTAAATGTTCAAACTAATATTATACAAACTGAGAATGAAATCGAAAATACTCCAATTTTACAAGAGGATGAAGTGATGAAGATAAATGAACCATTACTTGATGATTTTGCTGGTCAAGGTCAATTTTTAAGTAGTGTAGCACTTGCGAACAGGGATATAAATGAAGAAACAAATGATAAAATAGAAAAATGTGTTACAAATAACATTGAAAAAGACAATAAAGAAGATGGATTAGATAATGATTTGGAATTTATCCATTTAGGTGAAGAACTGAATGAAATGCGAGTTGATTTTGGTCCTGAATCAAATATACCTGATTCTTCAGTCATGAAATTGTTGCATTCTGTAATTAAAGAAACACGTGAAAGACAATGCACAGTACCTGAAAAATTACCTATTTTAACTGAGTATGACTCTTTTGGTATTGTGAATATCTTCAAGAATCTTCACAATTATATCTTACAGGAAGAAGGTGGTCAGTATGAACAAATTGATTATGAATGTAGCAAATTATTTTTACAGTTTGTTACATTGCGCCTTGATATGTTAGATTCCATAGAAAATTTTAAAGATCATTTAATACATTGCGTTGTAACAGTGGAATCGAATCGAAGTAAAACATGTGTCTGTGGATATCCAATGCCTCACCAAATACTAAGACCCCTTTTCTATGGGCTATGTAAGAAAGTTTACAACTTACTTTCTGATGATTTGAACAAACGTGTTGATTTATGTGGAAAAATTCCATACTTATGGCATTTGATAATTGATAATGAGAAAGATCCTTCTGTCAATATTTTATCACTAATTATGCAGTTGGATTATCAGAAGGGCTTTGATGCGTTATCAAAATCATTTAGTGAAGAGGATTACATGAATGTGATAGATTATAAAATCACTTTAAATTCCAAGCGGTGTTTGCTGTGTTTTTCAAAGCTCGAGTATGATCTTTTTACAGATGAATTAACTTCATACAATATCTCATGGAATTATGTCGGAAACTGTATGTATCGTGCTTTTGGTGGAACTAAAACACTGAATATGTTAATAAGTAAGTCTAATGAGATTCCTAAAGGTTCCATAGATCTGGAATTTTATCATTTTTTAATGCTCAACCCATAATTTTAACTGTATATGACTGATATAAATAATTTTAATCATTTATATGATATATGCATGTTGGACAAATACATATTTTAAATTTTCTGGGACTCAATGTGTTCAAAAAAACCAAATATATATATATTGTAATCGTTATAAATATCTATCTACCTTTTATGTTATTTTGTAATTTTGTTAAATTTTATAATGAAATGTTTAAAAAGTAAGACGAATAAAGAGATTTGCAGTAATATAGTAATTTCTATTATAGAATAAATACAATATTTTTGCTTAATGCTTCTGGGAATGTGATAAATTATGTAAAATGTTTAAAAACTTGATCATTTTTGTGAGCTTTATAATTATTGATTTAATTATTACTTAAATTTATAATATTTAAAACACAATATGTGCACTGTTTCATTCATTACTCTTTTTATATATATTAATTAAATATTTCATCATCTTGGTTTAGAGCAAGAAAAATTAAACAATAACAAAATTGAGAATTTCCAATATTACAAAATAAAATTAAAAATTTTATCAATTTCGACATTTATCGAAAAACATAATCATTTTTTAACAAATTTTGTATGGTCATCAATAACGTGTTTGTGGTCCTGGAACTTATACATGTGCAGATATATGTTAAATTATATATAAAATATATTTTCTCTTCTGAGAATGTTGAAATTTTGAGTCATTAGTGTTTATTTGTGTGTATAAATTTTAAGGTTTAAATAAACATTGAAAGTTTGTAAATTCAATGCTTGTTCTACCTAGTCTAATAATATTAATTTCTATTTTCAATAATTATTTTTTTATATGATTTTTATTCTCAATTTAACAATATCAGTCCCACTTTTAACAAAATAATAAGCTACATGTAGCCTCTGTTTACATCAAATATCAATCATAAATATATTCAACAAATATTATATCAATTAAATATATACATGTTTATATCAGATGAATAAGATTGAAATATAGGTAATCATAAGAAAAAGTAAAACAACTATTTTTTTTCATTTATTTATTTATTAAGTATTCACGAATTTATTCAATAATTACTAACAAATATCACAATATATTAAGTATAGAATTAAAATTTAAAGTTAATTTTATAATAAACTAGAACAGAATTTAAATTGCAAATAAGCCGTTGTTTTCGAATAGATTCTTTTTAGACAAATTATTAACGCCTGTGGCGAACGTGATTACTATGGTATCGAATATTTGTTGAGAGTTCTTTTGTTTTTATATAAAATTTATATTGTTTATTTTAAGACATGCCTTAAGTTTAATTTTTCAAATTGTTTTATTAACGCGTAAGTTAAATTCCGATTTTTATTATTTTTTTTTAAGCTTGAAAATTTAGTCATGCATTCTGCAAAGTTACCGAAGGAAGTAGAAAAATTTCAACGACATAATAGCAGTGCAAAAATAAAGGTAATGAACTTGTTATTTTTTGAATATAAGTAAGTGTTTTCAATTTGTCTTATTATTTTATAGCTCATGATTAGAAAATTAAAATATTATTTTTATCTTGCGCATAAACTTTAGGTAAAGACATTATACAATCAAAGGGCAGTGAAATCATGCACTTTTTCAAAAAATCAATATGGCACGTCAAGTAGATTTTTAAAATCTGGTAAAAGTGAACAGCTCAATGTCCCAAAATGCACTAAGTCATGCACCATTCCAAAACCAAGTTCCAGCATTCGCACTGAATATGTATCACCTTATAAAATGAGTGTACTTCAACATAATTCTGTTACTACATGTACTGAATCCAAAGACACATCAAAAGCTGACATGATTAAACATGTCAAAGTAAAAACTGTAAAGAAGTATCACAAAAAATCTATCTCCAAAAAGTCCAAAACTAAAGTTGATGAAAGTGAATTCCACGAAAAATTATACTGTGTTCAAAATCGAATTTGCATCCTAGTAATTGAAATTAAACGCGGACTTTTTGAGCAAATTACTGTACCGGATGGTAGAGAAGACTTAGCTCGTAGGAAAAAATGCGAACATGAATTTTGGTGTCGTTTTACAAGAAATTTTAACAGTGAACTAGGCCGACAGATTCGTGGTTTTCAACGCTTAATTGAGACAAAGCCAAGAACCAATTGCATTTCTGCAATAATTCAAAGGCGTATTTTAACAATGCATCAAATTGTCTTTCAAAGCCTTTCCTCGTATTTAGGCCATATGCCATTGTCATTGAACAATGAATTTAACGCCAATGTAAAATATGTAATCGAACAATTCTACGAAGCTTTGAAAATATGTGCTGAACAAAAATTATGCAATATCATACCAAAAATTCAGGTGAGCTTATCGACTCTTTTAAATTTTACAGAAGAAGATAAAAGAAACATGATGAGTAATTATAAGGAAATGAAGCCTCTCAAGAGCGAGAGTGCTCGAAAGAAGGAACAACATTCTTTGATAAAAAAATTATCTATGTACTTAGATCGGCCTGGACAATATAAATTGTTGAGCAAATCTATTCGTAGATCTATGAAAGCTAAAAATAACAAGAAAGGCGCTATTAGACTAGGACCAGATCCAAATGGACCTTTGATTGTTGATCCTGATGTTGACACTTTGGTTTCTCTCATGAGTGAAAGTTCTGATGATGATGTAGACGAGGACACGAGTTTGCAACAAGCTCTTTTCAGCATGGGAAACCTCATATCAAGTGCCATTGACTATAAAATTGTACTTTTAGAATGCATGTCAAATTTTACGCAGTATTTCATTTCTGGAGAAAACAAGTGGGATGTAGTAACATTGCTTGTTACCCAATTAATAAATGAAACCATTATTGATATGACTACTTGGGATGACGAAAAAATTAAAATTCATTTCACTCCGAATAAATTGCATTAATAAAAATTTAAGACAGCTTTCTTATTATTTGCGAATAGTAGTTTTTATTTACTTTGTATTTGTTTCATTTTTTGTATTTTTTGTCAAAATCAATATATTTTAGTTGGGCATGCTGTAATTCTGTTTCTTTTTAATAAAACTGGTTATCTGAACAATCACATATATTTATATAAACACACACACACACATATATATATATATATATATATATATATATATATATAAATGAAAGAGGCAATTAACACAAATTACATTGATAAATTACCATGATATGATAACTCCGAATTTTATCAATATTTATTATCTTAGATATTGGCCACGAAATGGTTACCTCCGAATTACATTGAATTATGATAACTCCGAAAAAAAAATCCAATTTTCTTTTAAAAACAGTTTTATCTTCAGATTTTAATATTAAATTTCAAAAATTTTATTGCTCCTTTTGGAGGGCATTCAAAAACTAGGTACTTCTTAAGCACATCGAGAAATATTTTGTTCAATAGGATAAGCCTGCAAATCAGTTTTCTTATCGGAGGTAACCATTTCGCGGCCAATATCTAAGAATTGTTTTTAAAATGTTACAGCGGATAGAGCGGATAAATTTAAGCTTTTCTATAAGCTTAGGAAAGTCTTGATCGAATTTTTATTAAAAACGTTCACAAAAAAGATGATAATTGTTAATTGATCGATTATCGACCTAAAATGACTATTATGAAATAAGAAAGTGAAATTTGGAGTTGTATGTAGTTTTCCATTCCGCATTAAAAAAATTAAAATAAAGAACAAAATTTAAAAAACCCATGAAACCCATGAAAAAATAAATTGCTTTCTTCTTTTTGAATGAAATTGAAGATTGTTTATAAACTCAAACGTCTAAAATAATATTAAGTCAAAAAGATTCATTGACTGAGCGCGCAAATAATGTAATTGCAACAAAATTACAAAATTGCAACAAAAAGGAACAAATATACAAAGTTAAAATAATTATATATTTTATATAATTACGAGTGTATATTATAAGCGTATATAAAAACTAATACAAAATGAAAACAAATAATAGTTAAACAGAAAAACTAATTTACTAGAAAACTTTAATGAAAAAATTGGCACTGCTATTTTATATAAGCTGATGGATATCATCCGTTTTTTAAATCTTGTTCTTTATTTTAATTTTTTTAATGCGGAAAGTAGCAACGTGTATGCAGCTTTGATATGTTTCACTCAATTTTAATCGGTGGATGGATCGAAATTAACGCAGATTCACAAAAAAAGTTGTCTGGATTGGGTGTGTGACATATGTTTACCAATGTACCATTTACTTCTGAAGATCTATAATCAATAAAATCTATAGTCAAAATTGGGACGCAAAATATTTAAAAACTAGCACAATTTTCAATCTATAAATTTTCCTAAATGAATGAATTATTTTCTATCGACTTTTCTTTTGTTGACCTGTGCAATTGTTTGCACACATACGTACTCAAAAAAAAGAATTTACATATTTTTTTTTGCTTTAAAATAGTTTTTTAATAAATAATAAAAAATTTCGATGTTTACTGAAAAAAATACATTTTTTAAACCTGTATTATTTTGCATGCTGATTACTTTCTGTGATGGTTTTCATAAAGTGTACCTACATCGATGTTAAATGGCAAAGAAAACAGCTTTGTTGCTAGCTTTGAACATTTGGAATCACAATTAAAATTTGTTCACATTTCCTTTTTCTAAACATGGAAAGTGAAACACAAGATGATGCAGAAGATATTATTCTTCATTGTCAAAATGACGAAAGTGCTAAAATTATCGTCCTTATAATTGTTCAGGAATTCTTTAAATTTACGGTGATTTAACCCTCGCGACTTTATAAAACATACTTATTTCATTACTTTGAATTTGGAAATGCGTTATTGCTATGTTCTCGTACAAGTTCTCAATTTTTCTTGCAATATTGTTAAACTAATATTCAAGTTAATATTTATTTTATCAGGAAATGCTATTTCTGCGAACAACAGTTTTTACCAGTATTTGACTGACAACAAAATCAGCCTTTACAGCCGTATTTGATAAAATATCTAGAAAAATAGTCTGTAGTTGAGAATCGCTTGGAGGGCCGCAGAAAAATATCCGGCGGGCCGCAGGCAGGTTGCTCATCCTTGGTTAGATTATATACTCTTCGCTTGTATAAAGTTTCATTAAAATCGACAAAATAATTTTTAAACAATTATT